ATATAAACAATTTCCATTTCACTTCTATATACTTATATGTGTTTATCTTAACAGACGCAAAACCTAATTCTGTCAGTCCCGCTTTTAGTGAGGTACAAGTATGGCGGTAGAATGACTACAGAATTATGATGCCTTAGCTTTTAGAAATGCAACGAGAACAAAGGTATATCACACGATGAAAACGATAGGAAATATGATGATCCTAACTATGATGCTATTCGTAGTGTAAGCAACCGTTCATCATTCACGTCCATGTAGGTAGATCGTTGGTTCTGATTATGACGCTATTCTTATCCAATGCGAGGAATCGAACCTGCGACCATCGTAAGTAAGCAGTCAGTGCCACATTTTTAGATAGAGCGTAGCGTGTTACAATTTGATGCTGATAATTTCGCCAAAAGGGTCAAGTGCCTGTGCTTGATTGACCTTATTATAATCCACTTAGTTTCAGATACAAACATCTACTTTACTCTAACTTAAACAAATCCGACCCAACCTGCCCGACAATTAGAGACAAGTTACAATCAACGGGAGACGCCTGCCATCAAATAGTTGATATAAACTTGAGATCTTTAGAGCCGTAGTGTATATTTTACATTTGTAGATAGAGTTGGGTACATAAGTAAATTAATTCCAATCTGAATTAATCCGTTCGAAATTACGAGATCATAAATATTTGAGTGAGCAAATTAATAAGTCTATGCAGTGAGTTCTTGAATATACCAAGGCGAAAAAACAGGTATAAATTCAAGATAAATACACTATTTGGTTGTAATAATTAATGAATATAAGTAGCACAAAATTTAATTGTATTATATAAACTTTAATTTTTATCGAAATATAAATAGTTTTTATTCAAATATACTTAATTTAAGTACTTTTAAATACTCATATTATATGACTTTTTAATAGTTAAAGTTTAAGATAAATTAGTAAATTTAATTATAACAAAGTATTTATATTATATATATATTATACTATAATTGACTGAATCTTAATAAAATGGGTTAAATCATGAGAATGGACTTAAAATAAATATAAGAAAAAAATATGTTCTATAAAATTCTACAGAACATTCGAGATATCATAAGAAATCAAATCAAAGTATCCCAAACACTGAATAACATATTCGGGTCATCTGTATAAAATAATTTTACTTAACATACATATCATATTTCCAAAGAAACTTGTCCACCGACTGGAAATAGCAAAGCCCCGGAATTTCCATAATAATGCCTTATTGAAGCTACTTGAACCTATCTCATGAGAGTTGGCATTGCCTTAAACAGGGTTGGAGATAATATTATGTTACGGAAACTATATATATATATATATATATATACATGTAATATAAAATAATTACCTTTATAGGTAATTGTGTACATATACGAATACGTAACTAATAACGTGATGCTCGTTCGTGCTGTTTATATATATAAACAACATATAACATATTTGGTACATAAAGCACATACAGTTTTTTTTTATTTTTTAAATATATAATTTTTAATTATTAGAAGATTTGTGTAATGTTGTATAACTTCCAATGCAAACGTAGTTAAAAAAGCAAGCTGTTTGGCCGTTGGTAATAGGTCTACTTCTATTAAAAGTCTCGATAATGACGCCCAACCAAAATCATTATTATGAAATATTCCATTAACATAATTGACAACCCTACAAGATGTCACGTGCAAACAGTAATACGCACAAGGAATGCTTACAATTGAAAACGTATTCAAAGAATCACTCGTTTGTATGGAATCTCACATCGTATCATAATGGAGCGATTGGGAGTTGCATTTAGAAAACATAGTACTAGTTTAGATTCAAGATGCAATATTAACGTGTATTGACACACGCTAATATTTGAATATAGCTATACTCTATTTGGATATTAATATTTATTATTATGTCAATTGAGTATCGTAATATTTAATGTTATGAAAACAACTAATATTAGTTCGATATAGTTGTATATAGTGGACCGTACAATTACGACTCTGTGATTCTGAGCAAGAGTGAACCGAGTACTTCCCATTGATATGGAATCGAAAGCACTCAGTTTGGTTAGTCTGCTAGGCTTCTCAGTATTTCGGGTGTGTCCAAACTTACCTTTTGAACAAGTTACCTGTTTACCGCCAAAACTGACAATAACTGCTTTCCAGCATATCTTATTTATATATCATTATTATTTCATAAACAAACTAATAGTATATAATAATATATTCACAACTAGTTTTTTAAATGAAGATTTATATAACAGCGACAAATATGACAACGATAATTCGGAAACTTTTCAAACGATAAAACGACAACGAACTTTGATTTTTATTTTTTTATTAGCGGCAGCGTTCCCGTGCGTATTATTATGGACATTAAATATTCTTCATTTTAATATTTTTCAGAAGAAATTGAATAAAAAATCATTAACATTCTATTGTGATATAATTATGTAATAATTAATAATAATAACAAAATTTAGTTACATCACTATCATTACTTTATAGTATGCGCAGTTGAAAAAAATATAAATCAGATATGGAGATAAAATATTTTTGTATAATTTTAATACCAAACAAGATGCTCTTTCTGTCATGTGACATTCGTGATATTTTTCATGCGTTGGAATTCTGGACTAAGATATCAAGCTTCGTATCCTGTAATTTCACTGTTTTATCTCGACCCTTCTAAAACTAAAATAAAACAAACTATCGACTAAAATATAACTTGCAATAATAATATAATATTAAAATTCTTTATTTGTGAAGTACAGATTACAAAGGTCTTAGAATAAATAATAAGTTTCCCTGCTCTCTGCAATACACGTTCATTTATTTTTATCCTCTTGATATAGGAGCTGCGTAGTACTCTATATGGGCGCTGAGGGAGGGGCAGCCAACTCTTTGTAACTATTAAAGCGATAATATACAAGTAAGATGAAATATAATATGAGTGCATAAACTAAGTGGTCTGGGAAAGAAAATGATATATATACACAGCTACAGGAAAACAAAAGGAAGTCTAATATCGTAACATAAATATTTGAAAATACAAAATGTTGTACTAGCTAGGTTGTAAGGAGTTTTATACAAGAGTCGGCTAGGAGAACAAAGCAAAAATAAATCTACGTAAGTTAAAATATTAATATTTTATGTAATAGTGCTGAGGTTTTTTTTATTAATATTTTTAACTGTATTCTAATAGTTCCATACTTATTATGGGGAGAGAACCTTATTTTAAGATGTGAGATCAGAGTGAGTTCTTAAGATTATATAAACTAAGAAATTGTTAACCAGACATTTATTATTTACATGTAAAATTTTAGCCATTCCCTATTCATGAGTTATTTTCCCAACAAAATTTTATAAGAAAAAATATGAACAACAAGTATTTAAATGCACACTTTTCTTAAGTACTCCATTTTAGATCCATAAAACCATTTAGTACTTACATTACGCATGCATTTATAAACTGTTTGGCGCGGCCATAACCATAGTCATAAACATTTACAGCGTTGGTTTCTCGTCGGATAATTTTATGTAGATCTTCTAGAAGAGATTTCAAATTCATTTAATTACTACGCTTTTCAATATTTAAATCATAATCACTTAAGTTTCTTTTATTATAAACTAGCTAACTCGCGCAACTTCGTCTGCGTTTCATTTCCCTATATTTCGTAATATTTTTCATTGCAGCTCCACTCCTATTGGTCGCAGCGTAATGTTATACAGCTTAAAGCCTTCCTCGACAACTAGACTATCCAACACGAAAATAATTTTTCAATTAGAACCAGTAGTTCCTTAGATTAGCGCGTTCAAACAAATAAACAACCTCTTCAGGTTTCTAATATTAGCATAGATTTAGTACTTATTTACACATATCTTTATTATATATATCAAATACTACATTTAAGTAAACCTGCCATGATTAGATTACTTGAGGGAGAAGGGATCTATGGAACCGGTGTGCAAGCATCAGACGAGTTATGAATGTGAATGAAGCAAGAGTTGCGTGCAAGGACAAAAGCCAATTGCGCTCGGTTTCCTTAGGAGATCTGATGAGAAGATGAATGAATACTTCTATATTCGTTATGTATGCATTCTACTAGAGTAGAGTATCACAGGATAAAATATGCTTATGAAATTTGGATGATAACCGCCGAAGGGTCAATAAGCTACAAGTCATCCAAGGAGCAATGAAGCGATCTATGCTCGGTATCTTCCTACGAGACAGACTGGGGAACACTGAGTTTAGAAGGCGCACTGGAGTTACCGACATCATCCAAAGAATCGCGTAGCTAAAGTGGCGGCCGGTTGTGTATATCAGAGCAAAGATGAGAGATGGACATACAGATTCCTAATGTAGCGACCTAGGATGGAAAGAAGGCGAACAGCGAGATGATCTGGTGACATAAAAAAGAAGGCAGGGTAAATCTAGACAAGATGTGCCACAGATCGAAAATTATGCAAAACGCATACCTTTAGAAGTGGACTAATAGATGCTGAAAGAGAAAAAAAGATACAAATGTGTCCATGGACGTTTTGTCTAGAATATTGTCTTATAGAAAACGTTAATCATCGTATCATATTTAGATATAAATAATAAATATAAATGTTAGCAGTAATCTAACACTAACTTATTTATACTAAATTAAAAAAAATATATAACCTTTGTTGGAAAACTGGCAAGATCATGGTAAACAATGTACCAACACAGGCCAATTTCATTCTCACTGCTGTTTGAGCATTGCAGCAGCTTATTTGAATATATATTACAATGCAATGCGTACTCGTATTTATAAATTAGATGCTGGAAACCATGTTACTACTTATATTATGTGAAAAACTTTCATATAAAACTAGATTCAGATACACGAATGTTAATGTAATGAATCTATTTTTGCAATTAAACAAAGTCTGCAAAATTTACGAGATTGTCTATAAAATTTAAAAAGAATAAAACTATCCGGTTTATTTACATATTTTTATTCGACGTTATAATAATATGTCCTATCTATAAAGCTTTACCTTTCAAAGTGAGGAAAAGTTTTATCAGCATATTTTATCGGAAAAACGCAATTTTTGTATATAAAATTAAATTTATCTTTATAATAACGGGCAGCTCTGAAAATTGACAGCTCAATGCCTGACTTTATTGCTTTATATAACAGTATATTGTTCTCATTATAATTGCAGCTGGGTAATTTGGCGCTCTGAAAATTTACAACGTGCTTGTAATTTATTAACGTAATATGAACATTCGTAGTAAAAATGTATTTTAATTACCTGGAAAGACAACGTTGTTAAAAGTTCTCGGAATGTGTACCACTGACTCACCCTATTCAAATTGGTCTAAGAGTTTAGTTTTACTTGTATTTTTCCTATATATGAACCATAAAGGTTCATATATATATATTTAATATGGCATTCATTATACCATACCCTGGCCGTTCAATTCACACAGAACTATCTAATCATTATCTATCATCATTCAGCACTATCTAATCCCAAGCCATGCAGACCTTAAGTTACAGGGGTCTAGACCCTGTAACATAAGGTCTGCATGTATCTAGTAGACTTAGACATTTTTTTTTAAATACATATGTAACATATGTATAGAATCCCAGACCTATACAAACTTCATATTCATGAATGTAAACGTCTGTACCGTGTAAGGAATCCAACCCGCGAGCATAGGACCATAGGAAGTAAGGCGCTGTGAAAAAAACAAAATCGTATCATAATCGGTCCATTTGTTTAGGACTTACGATGACATAGACAGACACGTGAAACTTTTAAGACCCTGCTTTATGTATATATAGGTGAACAAAACAAAGTGTCATTGTATCTTCATCTCGAAGATTCCGATGTTATACTTTATATTACTCTCAAGTCAGACGATATAATACATTAAGGGCATGACAAGATTTTTGCGAAGGAAGTATAAGAGGATAAAGGCGGATAAGCCGAAGGTGACGAAGGTGTAAGACCGTTTCTCAAGTCCTCGATAACTAAATCCAAATGTTAATTTAGGTATACTGTCTTATCATTACTGTAAATATTTTGTAGCTAAATCCATTATTATTTAGTAATAATCATATGTTTATATTTATATTGAGAACAAACATAGTAGTAGTATTATTGTACGCAACGCAAATGCATAATATAAAAAAAACTACCTAACGTAATATATCAAATATATATAAAAATAAGATATGTAATTTCTATTTTTAATAAGCTCTTTTTTTAAGGTTTCAATATCGTATCGGTTCGGAAATACCAATGCTGGTAGGTCATTCTACAATGTGGTTGTTTGTGGCAAAATGTTTCTAGAAAACCGCACTAAGGAGGAAAACTGCACCATTCAGGATGGTATTTTAGTTTCTGGCGGGTGGTACCGTGGTAAAACTCAGCAGCTGGTATTATTTAATTATATAATATAGTATGTGTACAATATTGTACTGGTTGTCTATATATATATATAATATTCATACTATTATTATAAATAAGGAAGTGTCTATGCCCGTTTGGCTGTTTGTTACCTTTTCATGACCTTGAAGCCATTTGAAATAAAAATAGACTGACTATCCATTATTTAAAAATACATGGACTATAAATATAAGCGATTACAGTTTGAGCAGATAAAATCTCGTGTAAAGAGTACTATATAATAAAAAACTGTAATAAAAGACTAATAAAAAGTTAAATAAACAGTGTAGTACAATAATCTGCTGTTCTCAGAATTAATAACATAGAATTATATTTTTTTTCTAAAAGCGATTTCATTCTTCATCATATTACAAAGCATAATATGACTAGTCTCTTTAAAATCTTATTTATTTACTACCTATAATCTTTCCTAGAAAGTTTTTTTACTGATTGATAATGGAACGGTGCATTCACCTGCGCTAGTGCCATATTTAAAATACATAGACATCATTAAAATATTGTAGAACTAGGATGAAGTGAGCCCACTTGTTTCACCACAGCAAATTCACCTGTGATTAACTACGATGGTTTCCACATGGAGGTGTGATGTACCATACATTGCTAGAGATGGGACTAGTAGAGCTGTTCTGGAAACATCCCTTACGAATTCGAAAACGGAATCTGCGGTGATTTTGTACATTGGTGCTCTGTAAAACTTGATAGCGACTGTAATGCAACATGCTCGAGAGCGGGATGGAGGTAAAACAGACATTAGTGTTTTTTTTAGAAATGTAGGTAATAGATACGAGTGTCTCGAGTTTTTTTTTGAAGTTTTCAGGCGTCCATAGGCTACGGTAAACATTTACCATCAGATATGGCCCATCTGATGGTAGGTAAATATTTACCGTAGCCTATGGACGCCTGAAAACTTCAATAAAAAAACTGCTTGTTTGCCACTACTACTTTCTATTTAGTAGTATAAAAAAAGAAGCGATGAGTGAAATGAGTTACAAAAGGCTTGCAGAATGCCAATGCTGTAGTCTAAATTTATAATATCAATGCCAATGTCAGAATCAACCCGGCTAATGACAATGTACGAACATAAAGCTTACCGCTTACCTACCGCTGACTTTATTGTATTAGTTTTTGGCGAGAACGTAGAAATATTAATTTTCGGACATTCGGAAAAGCTGATGTATCTAGTAAATGAGATTCCCATGAGCGAAGATTAATGGCGCCACTATCAACGCTGACTGCGCTATTAAGAGCAGAAATCATTTATGTGAGTACTCTGAGGAAATATTAATTCGAGCTAATATTGTTAGGATCTGCGAAAAACCATTATTTAATTTAGAGTTTGCTCATTCAAGAATTTGTTCTCTTAAAAAATATAAGTGTATAAATATAAGTAATAACTAACTAGTTTTGTTAATTAGAATCATTTATTATAAATCATAGTAAAGTCATATTATAAACATTTAAATCGCTGGCCTTAATTGCGAATTATTTTTTCTTGTTCCTTCCTAATCTTCGTTTAAAGTTATAGTTTTCACTTGCATCTATTAATATATATATATCTAGTAAACCCTATTTACTGACTCGATCAGAATAAAAAATATAATATATTTTTAGAATAGTAGAATTCATACAAAATTTATACGAAGTAGTAAAGAAAACTGCATACGAATTTCGAAGCGATGCAAGCAATAACAGTTCGTTCCGTTGGTAGTACAGTTTCTGAGGCAGATATTTCTTGTCGATTTAAACTTCCACAGATGCTTGCATCGTGCAGCTGTTACATTGTTCTAAGCATAAAAATATTATTACGTTCAAAAATATAATTTGTAAAAGCTTAAGTAGATGAACACTAGTATCATTACAAGACAGATCATACAAAGATCAAAGGATACTTTATGTACTGCAATAGATTATTTACATGTTAATTGAGTTTTGTTTAGCCTACTACCGCTCATTCGGAAAACTGTCTCATCACAAGAAGAACGAGAATGAAACTAGTGTGTTGCTCTTTTAAATAATTTAGATCTTACTTTACATTTTAAGTTGAAACGTGTGAATACAAACCACCAACCAGCGCCAATTCATTAGACTCTAAATATTAAACACAACCAACTGGATGAATAACTAAATAAGGGGTAAGTTAGTCACAAAGTTAGAGATTGCGAGAAATATAAAATACTAGCTGTGCTCGCGGTTTCACGCGTATGTAATTTATAGCCTTTGTATTATTCTGATGTGAAACAACTGTACACTTGTACTGTAATATTATAAAATTCTCGAGTCACAATGTTAATTACCGTAATCCTCCGTAACGGGTTCACCGATTTTTAGAAATTTTATATGCATATTCAGCAGGTCTGAGAATTGGCTATTATCTATTTTTCATATCCCTAAGTGATAAGGATTGGCCACCCCTAATTTTTTTTTTATATTGTTTTTATAATGTGGCATTAAAAATACACACAATCCCAAATTTTAACCCACACGTTTGCGGGATCAGCTAGTATATTAAAACTACCTTAAAAGTCACCAAATACGATAACGATAGTACCATCACGTATTCCCATTACTGAGGATTAGAGAAACTGTTTTTGTTTTTATGGATGATAATGGAATGATGCAACCGCCTGCGCTAACGGTTTACGCTGGCGGGGCACCAGTGGAGGATCATAAGATGAGCCAGGTCAGTTAGCCCATCGTCACAAACTCTGCAAGAATTTAACACGAATGTTTCCAGGCGAACCGCGTGGAGGTCAATATGACATGGTACATTGCTAGTAATAAGATAATCAGTCCACATTGCTAACAATCTCCTATCCCCCTAGAGAAATTGTTAGTCCTTCGTACTCTGTAATTTTCATTGTCATATTTCACGGCACTAACCGGAACATAAATTTCAAAGCAAGCTGCTGGCGGCAGAATTAGGCGAGATAAAGGTACCCACGTAGACAACATTATACAATCTCCTGGTAATTATGTAAGTGAGCATAATTTGATACATTCATTTACAAATAGTCATGTTATATAAGCAATTAGGGATGCGATATTCTGTATAAAAATGTATTATTAATTATTTATTTTCGTAATCGATTATTTCTTGACAAGTAGTTCTTGACTAGGCCCTTGGCTTCTGTGGACCTAGCTGTTCATGTTCTATTTACTTCTATCACAATTTGGTGTTTTTTCACATCACTTCTATAAAGAGATCCTATCTTATACAATCGATTGTTAATTTTATTGCAATATGATTTTTTTATTAATTTATTGAAAACAATATTAATATTTTTTTAAATAATCGATTTATTCTGTTATCGATTAGTTTTCCACAACCCTAGTAGCAAGTATAATCGCACCAATTAACGTGAAGCAGCAATACGTCACCTAAATGACCCATTAGAAGTCAAAACTCGTCCGCGCGCATATGTCTGTAATTTGAAAGGATTAAATCTCTCATTTTGTGACGCTACAGAGATAATTGCAATAAAAACTGAGCACTAACCGAGTACGTGCTGTCAGCTCGTTCTTTAATCTATTCATTAGTGCAAATCCAACACTGCTAGAGCATCTTTCATTTGCTAATTAGGATTACGGTTAGCTACTATATTATTAAATTGTTTGAATAAGGAAAATGTACATTGCTTTTTTAAACCTTGTTTAAAGTCTTGATAATATAATAGAGTTGCTGACAAATCTCGTCTTAAAAAGATTGAATGAATGAAGTTGAATGATAAATTTGACTGTAGTATATTACGTAATTGAATTTGACTGTCATTTGTTTAAATATTATTTAACAATTTGATTTACAATTTATATGGCTACGCCTTTATGATTGAAAAGACCAGATTGAATATATGCAATCTAGAAAGGAAACTTGCAATTTGAAACGGACCGTAAGTATATTATGTAAGATTATGTATCTTACATAATATACTTACAGTATATTTCGAATATCTATTTCCTGAAAATTCGTATAGTATTTCGTAAGATGATATACGATATATTCGATTATAATAGAGCAATAGGTTATACACGGTAATTTATTTTACGATACATATCTGTTTCGTAATACACCGTTATATCTAAGAACTCAAATCAATATTTTTGTATTCTTTCTTAACAAATTGGAAAATCAATAGAATACTACAATACAATAGTGCAACAATTATTGTATTCATTGTTTTGAATATAAAATTTAATTTTGTGAGGACCACTGCGTGATCTAGCACATTTAATATAAAATAAAAGATAACTGTAATACAAACAGATAACTGTAAAAAATATTTTGTCAATAATCAAAGTCCTCTGGGAATGTCGATAGTTTTATGGCAACTGTTTTTTTTTTTATTTCATCATATCTGTATGTATGACTACAACAGATGTTTTTAACCTACTGATATCTAATATCAATCATAACAATATATTAAACAGGAAAGTTTGGATGCAGGTTTGATTCTTATCTTTTCAGGTCTAAACAGATTTTAATGTATTTTAGATAAGAGACAAATATAGCTTGTACTGAAATAAAAATTGTCGTCCTGTGGGAATGATATAGCTTTTCTCAAATCTTGTATTTAAAAGCAAACGAAGTTGCGTATATGATCAATGTTTGAAACTTGAACATGCGAGAATCGTCTTTTATAACATCATATCCACCAACTTATTACTCGATCCCTAATACATTATCACACAGAACGAGTTTAAGAAAAACCAATTGAATGCCATAAGAAAACTCCGTAATTATGTTAACGTTGGTTGGTTAGAAAGAAAAGTTATAATGTCTACCCGATAACTCAATTTGCACCCCCCTAATTCCAAAGCGAAGTGGTGAACTTTTCAATCTGGCCACCCTTGAAGGCCGCCGTCCGTCTGTTCAACCAATAAAATGACATCTCAGTTTAATATCACCCCGTCACGTTTATGGTGCCCCAATAATCTTCCATCTGACGACTTTTGAATAAGTTTATCGAAATTTCGTTGCGGAATCTAGTGAAAGCGGTTAATGAATACAACGTTCCAAATTTGTGTCCAACTTTTCTGTTTATATATTTATTTTTAACTAGTTAACCCGCGCAACTTCGTCTTCAGGTCATATTTTCCCTATTTTTACAATATTTTTCATTGTAGAAGCGCTCCTATATATCGTAGCGTGATGTTATGTAGGCTTTAGCATATAGGCTTCCTCGATTAATGGGCTATTTAGAACTAAAAGAATTTTCAAAATCAGATCAGTAACACCGAAGATTACTACGAACGTCCAAACTGACAAACATTACCTCTTTACAATATTATAGATATTGTATTCCGGCTTTTCGACATAGAAAACATTGAATGGATATATTAAGGGTTCGAAGGTCTTAACACAAAATTTGACTGTTAAATTTGTTTATAGATTACCATCTTATTCATCTAAAATTTTAAATGCGAAAATGCGTTTGGATGTTTTTACATTTTCACAAGTAAACGGCTAAATAGCTCTAGTCGATGACCTCAGTGATATAGCGGTTTCGCATACCGACTTAACAATCGAAAGTAGCGAGTTCAATTCCTCGGAAGGCACTTTCATTTGTATTCATAATCATAATTATTATTATTATTAGTATTTGTATCGGTCTGGGTGTTTTCCATGTATATTATAAAAATAATACAAAAATATACCTATACATTTATGTATTTCTATTAGTTGTCCAGTATCCATAATACAAGGTCAGCTTTGCATGGGACTAGGTGGCGCTACGTGAATCGTCCTGAGATATTATTATATTGTAACGCGACTGCTATAAGCTATTATATACCATAAAAAGCAGATAAAGTTGCAGATAAAAGGTAGTATTTCACATTAATATAACATATTTTTATAACATAATTAATCAGTCAAATATCTATAGAGCAAATGCAAATACATGTCTTGGTCTAAACTAGCTTATAACACACTTATGACATTGCATTAAGGTTTAAAATAGATAGCCCTGCATATGCAGGTTGTACGATTGGCTGGACACAGAAATGTTAAGGTCACAACTCTCTCGGAAAATTACCCCACGCTAAAACTAGTAGTGGAGTGTAGATATTTCTAGTTCCAAGTTTATGCTCTTTTCAACCGTCTTTAGTGGAGTTGGTTTTATGTTCCTATTTTTATGAGTATATTATTTTAGATCTATACTATTTGTAAATATTAGCCTCTTTATTTCATTTTTGATCTGTGTTATGTGTCTATCCACAACTAGCTTTTGTTATAAGCATAGATATTACACCCGCTTTAGACCACCTTTTTAGATAAAGTATAACCTATATTTGCCATTATTGTATACTAGTTTGTTAAATTAGACGAATGACAATTAACAAACTTTTAACCACATTCTTAACCATTTAAAACGTTACATTAAGATATAATGTAATACGCATTAATATGTTTTAAAGGCAGTGGATTATTTTATTTTGGAAATAATATTTACTTAAATTTGATGTTAATGATTTGTTGTATGTTGTTGCCAGGCGAAAATCTTTTTCCTTAATCAAAACCTTAACATTAGGTACGTCAAGTTCAAATCAATAAATTCGTGTTCCGCGCACTGCTCCCACAGCAAACAACAGTTTATTTCGACGGAACTTTTTGTTCACTTTATCGGGAATGGACATTCGATTTATATTTATATATCACTATCTCAAGAATTCCGTATAGAATAAACGAAGATTTAATAGTATAAGTCTAGTCTAGTTTTGTATTGAGTCTTTATTTGTACCTATTCTACTTGTACGAATAATTAAA